GAAATAGCTTTTAGAATCATACTACAGACCAGAGTTACAAGACACAAGGAAACTTGAAATGCATTTTGCAAGTGGTTTTTTTACAACAAAATAACAACATTATTATTATTATCACCACCTTTGGTGGGGGGGAAGAAACAAAGAAGCGTTTCACCGCTGCTGTTAAAACACTTGTGAATCTGAACTCAGAAGAACGCAGGCTGTGGGACCGGAGGAGAGCAACGTCAACGTCAGATAAATCACACCGTCATTTTCACAAAACCTGGTTGAGCCTTCGCCGTGAACGGCGCAGGAAAACGCGGTTTGGGTTTTCTTGATCTGCTTTTAGCTTGAAGTTAATATAGAATTTTTCTCAGTCGGGCATCGCCTTGATCTCTCCCTCTCTCCACAGGTACATATGTTCTTTGTCGCTGTTCCATTATTCAGAATATTTGGTAACCGCAATTAACAACCCCCGAAGCTTGTCTCTGGATTCTTTCCTGCTCAACCACAGTTTTGAATATAACATGGCTGCTCTTTCCTCGTGGATCGAGTTCACCGTGGAAAAATTCATTTGCCCGGGTGAGTAGCGGGGGTTTTGTTTTTTGTTTTAAACCGACGAATAAGAGAAACCCCTTGCCGTTTGGGAAGTCAGGAGCCACGCTTCTTCCCCACCCTCGTCCGATCCGTGGAAGCTTTAGCGTAAGCCCGTTGTGACGCCCTTGTCTTTCTGCAGAAATGAAGCAGATCTTTTGGCTCAGCTCCGCGGGCCTGCTCATGGTGGTCTTGGGCGAGTGCCTGCGGAAAGCGGCCATGCTCACCGCCGGCTCCAATTTCAACCACATCGTTCAGAATGAGAAATCCGAGACCCACACGCTGGTGACGCGGGGCGTGTACGGGTGGTTCCGCCACCCTTCATACGTTGGGTGGTTCTACTGGAGCATCGGAACTCAGGTAACGTCGAACCGGATTGTCGGCGTCTTTTAAGACCCGCAGCCAGGCGCTTTGCGAAGCGGCGGTCTCTTCCCCGTCAGATAAGTGCTTGAGCGCCTCTTCGTTGACGTAGCAGAGCCGCGTGGGCAGCATCATTTAAGTGCAGAATTTCAGGGGTTGAAAGCAGCCCTCGGTCCTTGGGGCAGCTGGGGGCTGATTCTTACAACCCTGTAAATAAGTAGGGTTAATTTAATAAGTTAATTAATCTTCCCGTGTTTTGAAAGCGGGGCGGCCAAGGGGGGTATGTGAGTGCCACATCGTGAGCTTGTGGCAATCATCTTGATATGGAACAAGGGGATATTTTGAGTCAGAATAGCACAGCTGTGAAATGGGAATATCACGAGAGAGATCTCTTTTTGTACGGGGCATGATCTTCCATCCTCCTTTTTTGATAGGAGAGTAAGTGATTTGCAATTCACTGTTAAAAAGCAGCGGCCCTCTACAACTCTGGATGCAGCTCTTATTCAGCACTCTTCCTTTGGCGCCTGCTCTTCGGGGCGTTGTATTTTTCTTTCATTTAAATAATGTTTGCCTGCTCTTCGGCTGAAAGATTCCAGAAGTGGGTTGCTGATTAAAAAAAAAAAAAAATACAGCCCGACCCCTGCTCTCAGGTCTTCTGTCTAAATTGCATGACACAAAAGGAAAAATGGAGGAGGGAAGAGGAAAAGAAAAAAGCCTCCTGAATGTTTTTGCCCTTTACTTAAGTGGCCTAAAGGATCCCTGGCTGAAGACATCTAGACTGAATTGGTGTTATAGTTTTAATAATAATAATTGATTGCCGCCCGACTCCCAGCGACTTTTATTTCTGTTGTCTCCTTGGACCGATGCATCTGGCCTCCCGAAAGTTTGCCCTCCTGAGGCAGCCAGCCGAGGGAGAATCCTTCCCCAGGGCCCATTTTTTCTCGGCTTCGCTCTTCCAGGTCCTCCTCTGCAATCCCATCTGCCTGGTGGGTTACACCCTGGTGTCCTGGCGTTTCTTCCGCGAGAGGGTCGAAGAGGAAGAAAGGACGCTGATTCATTTCTTCGGAGAAGAATACCTGGCCTATAAGAAGAAGGTACCCACCGGCCTGCCGTTTATCCGAGGGCTTAAAATCGAACTGTGAGACCCACCCGGGCGAAACGAGGAAGCCCTCCACTCGGCACCGTTGCCTGCCCCATCAGGGGCTGGCTTTCCTAGTCGGGGGAAATTCTTTGGGGGTTTGCAGAGGGCTAAGATAAGTTTTGGGGTCATAGGCTACCTTCCTTAAAAATACCCACCTTGCTAAGAGGGATTTGGGGAGCGGCCTAGAGTTCTCAGACCAAGCCGTAAGGCTGTTTTTTTTTTTAAAAAAAAGAAAATAATTGTCATTTGTTCTTTGGCGGGCCGAACAAAGACGTTGCAGCGAGTTCTAACCCCGGCCTGGCCGAAAGGGGAGTGGAGAGAGATTCTCGCGGACGAGCTTTTTCCCAAAAATCATGCCCATCTTCCTCTCTTCCCGCTTCCCCTTCCGAACGGCTGCTTGAAGCCTGATCTTAAGCCCTCTGGGAACAAATCATTCTCACCCAGCTGGGTCGATCGACTCGTAGCCGCAAATCCCTCTTCTTCTTTTAACCGCCTGCAACGCTTTCGGTCCCCAAAGAGAGAATTTTGGGGGCGGGGAAGGTTTGGAAATGCTTGGGGATTTTTTTTTGGTCACTTATGCAAAACCTTTAAGACAAGTCTGAAACGGTTGGTTTCTAAACGTCATGCTTCCTTCCTTTCTTTTTTTCTCTCATTGTCATCTTGACTTTTTTCCTCTCGACCTTTTGCCGTTTTCATTTGAGAAAGCGTTCAAAATTCATTTCGGTAAAGAGGAGCAGCAAAACCTGTTCTCTGACTTGGCGCACACTTGCATAAGTTGATAAAAACCACAGGGAGAGTCCTTTCTTCGTCAAACTCTGACAGGTTGTCCCCTTTCCGATCACGCTCTTCTGTTCACGTTACATGCCAAAGAGACATTTCTTACCTTTCTGTGTTATTCTAGGGCTGCGCTTATAATCAGGATAGGAATTGAGGCTTAGCAGAAATAGAGGAACCCACAGGAGGCCCGCTTGCAGTTCAGTGCAGTGTTTTGCCCCCAGATGCAATCGATCTTTCAATCTAACCGGCTGTCTGTATTCCTTAACCATACCTGAGGCTCGTGTGAAACAGAAAAGGGAGGTTTTCACCCTGTGGAGGGTGGAAAACTTTAAAAAGGTTTTGTGATTGGAAAACTACTAATTGCAGAGGCAAGCAACTTTTAGTTTCTTTACTAAATCTAATCTTCCTTTTTCCCTTCCTCCCTTCCATCTTCCTTTTGTTTCTCTTTCCTTCCTCCCTTCTTCCTGTTTTTCCTTCCTTCCTTCCCTCCCTCCCTTCCTTCCTTCCTTCCTTCCTCACTGATACAAGGCTCACTTAAAACATGCACACCCAAACAGCCCTCTGTGCTCTGAAAAGCTGTATTCTGAATTTGTGTAAGACTTTAGACTGTTTACCCAATTGCTCCTGCTGTGCCTCACCCTATCATGTACTTTTGAGAAAAAAAATTTTTTCCTTTCGCATAATTGATTCTAAGAGATGGGGCTAAAGGCTGTGCAGAGATCTGAGCCCCCTGATGTTTGATGATCTGACTCTTCTGGGGTTTGAGATTTCACCAGACCGTCCACCCGCTCTTGTCCCGCCCCCCCAGAACCCCAGTATATTTTTGCAACCCTAAAAGCTGAGGCTCTTGGAAAGCTGCATTTTGCAGCCCTAAACCACACCTTCTAGAAGACAATGAACAATGAACAATGCTGAGCAAGGCTGGTGGGTGGTGCAGCACGTGGTGGGGGTTTTCCAACCATTGTTGTAGCCTGTGGTGTTGATCCTCATGTTAAGCAAGACCATGGTTTGTCTGCCTGGTCTGGAGAAGGACAGAAGAGGATGGGAGGATTCCGCTTCGGTGGAATTGGGGGGCAGGACAGAGAAAGGACATTGCTGGTGAGGCTCCTGTTATATGTTTAGCTCTGCTCTTGAGTAAAGAGTTGGACCTGGTTGGTCGTCTTGAAGGGGATGAGCTTGTGTCGCAGTCTCCCTTCTTCCTAGGCCGGCTTTGGCTCCCACATTTTACATTTGGGGGCGAGGATGACCACAGAGATGAAAGCGTGCCAGTGTTTTTCCTGCAGCTGAAAAATGCAGGGCGGAAATTGGAAGCCCTCCAGAAATCCCACCTCCTGCTGATGAAGGAGATCAGACCAGGCTTTGCTTTTGGCGATCTTAATACTTTAATCTGAACGCAAGGCTGGTTTAATTTTAGCAGCAGAACGAGGGTAGGGCTGGTGAGAGACCTTAAGACCAAGATCTACAGGCTGGAGACTTTCTGACGAGCTCCGCTTAATCCGCGGCGCACTGCAAACGCGCTCTTGAAACATCTCCCCGATGGCCTCGTGCTGAACCTATGAATTCCCTAGCGTGGCCCTGAGAAATTTGCAACCCCCCAATCCACAGGGATCTCCAGTCCTGAGGTTTAAAGATTCGCTGTGGAATCTGCGCTGGGGAAAAACGCCTTTCCCGTTTCACCGATCCAACTTCTGAGCGAGCAGAGGGGGGGTCCACGCATCTGATCCATCTGCAGAATTAAACCCACCGCTGTTTTCCCCAAAGCCCTTGGCGGGCTGCAAAGAACCCATCAAGAGGCCTCACTTACTTTTTAAGCATCGCTTTTTCCCCAAGGCACGGTCGGGAGGTGTGGCAGACGCAAAGCCTGTTGAAATCTCAGATGCGCGCATTCTCCAGGGTGTGCAGATGTCAGTTCAAATTGTTTTAAAGCAAGGGACAGTTGTGCAAATTGACTCCCATCGGTGTCACCTTTTCTTGAAGCAGAGCTGAGATGACCCAGGCTGATAGTTTTATAATTTTTTTTTTTTTTTTAAAGACTGGTCACGCATATGGGTTGGAAGTCGCGATTTTGGGGGGTGTCTTTGGGGACGTTGGGCTCTATTACCTCAACCAGAGAAATGGATTTTTTTTTATTTTTAACTTCCTGCTCCCTTTCAACCAGTCAGCCAAGGCCAATTCAAACGGCAAGGCGGTTCTGTGCTGTTTTATTTTTTAAAAGTGTAATAAAGCAAGTATTTTTTACGTCTTCCCTCTCTGCCAAAAATGTTGACGGTACGTTTTCTTCCTCTCCCAAATCATCCCAACAGCGATAATATAATAAAAAAAAAGATACATGATTGAAGAAAGAAAAACTGGATCGGAAGGGCAGTTTGTGGTGGGTGGGGGTCTTGTTTGTTCAAGAGTAATTTTAAATGTGTTTCTGTCTGGTGTGTTTGCCTCTTCGTTGGGGGGGGGTGCTTTTTCCTCGTATAGGTTAGATCTTTGTTAAATGCTAAGAGGCTGTTAGAAATAACTAGCAGTATTACAGGCTTCCCATTCATTTGTAACTTGGCCAGTAAAAAAATCTGCTGGGGAAAAAAATGAGGCTGTTTGCCTGTGAACAGGGACTCATTATGAACTTTCCAAACTCTTCCAGCTTTCGTAACAAACCCACACCATCACACACACCCACACAGTCTCCTGTGTGCCTGGCCCAGGTGCGAAACGCATCGGGGAGAAACCCAAAGTCTGGCTGGAACCAGGGGAGCCCAGAACGAGGACTCATGCAGAGATGGGAGGGGAGACTCCCCAGAAGGTCACTAAGCAGCAGGTGGCTCGGTTTTTAGAAACCTGGCCAAAAAGACGCCGGGCCTAAAGAGATTGATGTGGGAAGCCAGGCCAAGAAAGCAGTGACTCATACAGGGGGCCAACGGGCAACCTTTTGCGCTAATGGTGGTTTTTAGTCTTTAGTTCCCAGTAACACACAAGCATGTTCCCTGCACTGTTTACAGATTTCAGCTCTAACTTCCATCTAACTGTTTTGAGAACCGATCATGAGCTAATGGGAATTAACGCCCACACTTCGGATCCATCCAGATGACAAAGCAGGCAGGCCGTCGCAGCTAAAGTCGAAGGAACGGTTCTGTCCATCCACGGTGGAAGCACCATGCCAAAAAAAGAAGAAAACCCTGCGTGTTTGCACGCAATTTAGGCGTGAAACCCCACCTTGGCGCAGAATCCATGCGTGTTCTGAGTAGGCGCTGGCGTGGCAGCGGGAGATTCGTTCTTTAAAAAAGAAGGAACGTTTTGCGCACTCAGTGCAAGAGGAGCTGCGCCGCCTGATCTCCTTCCTTGGTTAGACTCGGAGGGGCTCCCGCTGGCTCGGCGGGGGGCTCGGCCCTGATTTTCTGCTTGTTTTTGAAGACCTCTGCGCTTTTCGGCTGGGGGTCCTGGGCCGCTGGGCCGAGGATCTGGTTCTCCGTTTTGAGTTCCCAGTCTTTGCTGCTGCTGCTGCTGCTGCTGCTGCTGCTGCTGCTGCTGCTCCCGAGATCGTCCCACGGAAAGGAGGAAAAATAAAAAAGAGAGGGAGGAAAGAGTCAGCCCAGGTATTGCAAGAGAATGGGGCAGTTGATCGCCCCCATGTACACCTCCTGATGCCGCTGATAGCAACCCCTTGAAACCAGGATGCTGGATAACTCTGGAAGGGAGGGATCTTGGCTCGACCGGTAGAACCCGTGCTTTGCAGCACAAAAAGTCCCTTATTCTGGAAAAACACCCGAAGGTGCTGCGTCAAGCTAGAGGCCACCTTACACCAGATCCTGCTTTCCTTCTCAGTTCGCTGATGCTCAAAGGCACGGGCCTGGGGCCCTCGATGCTGCTTGGAGGCTAGCGCTTGGGTTAAGCTAGTCCTCAAGGTTTCCAGTCCCCCGTGCGCACCGTCCCAGTCAAATGACCGTCTCTACTTCGGATCGCCGATTCTGCAATGAACTGCTTGATGTCCAGAAACCAAACGGCAGTTTTCTACTCTCCCCTAAGTCGCGTAAAGGAGATTCAGAGGATAACTTTGGCACCTGACTTTTGGGCCAGGAGAGCTGGCTTTGCCCATCCTGATGGCTGGGCTTCACGAAATATCTCTGCATTCACACGTGCTATGGTTGTTTGGGTTCCTCTAGATCGGTGTTTTTCAAGCTTGGAAACTTTAAGAGGTGTGGACTTCAACTCCCAGAATTCCCTAGCCAGCATGCTGACTAGGGAATTCTGGGAGTTGAAGTCCACATCTCTTAAAAGTCGCCCAGGTTGAAAATCCTTGATTTTTGGGGAGAGGTGGCTTCACACATTCTGCAACTCGAACCTGTTGGGTTAGTTTTGCAGTTGAATGTCCTTGGCCAGATACTGGGTTAAATCAGTTGCTAGTTTAGGAAGGTGGAAACCGACTTAAAACTCCCACGTTCTGCCACCCACGCGCCAGGATAAAATCAACATCATTGACGGCCCCAAACCGGTCACTTACCTGGGCTGGATGTCAGCCAGGAGGGTGTAGTCATCGTGGATTTTCAGCAGGCTCTCCGGCTGATCTGCTTTCTCTTTCCACTCCTGGAACCTGAGAGCCAGAGACAGCCCAGGTGAACCCCAAGAGTCTTCCCACCCTGCCGTAAAATCCTCCAGGAATTCACAAATGCCACCCAAGTTGGTTGCCAACAACGCATCGTGTGTCATTCGTGTCTGTCCTTGGCATAGTGTAATGGGAGGGAGGGAGGAAGGAAGAAACGAAGGAACAAAGGAAAAAGGGAGGGAGGGAGAGAAGGAAGGAGAAGGGAAAGAGGGAAGGAGGAGAAGGAAGGAAGTTACTTAGTTCATGGCTTAATAGGGTATTTGAATCTGGAAAACCTGTCACTTAAGTCATCAGATTATGGTGGTGGTGTGAGGAGAACTGCTGCTGGGGTCCTGAATTTGCTGCTAGGGCAGATTGATGAGCCCACACTGCGTTTCCACCCAGAAATTCAGGACGGGAGAAAGCCGAAGGGAGAAGTGGAGTTGGGGGAGACCATTCAGGGAGCAAGACCAGGATCAGGAGCTCATTCGGTGATGGCGGGTGAAGGAGGCAAGGGCTGCCTCCAGTGGTCACCCAAAGTACATCGGGGCTGAGCTTCCAGGACAAACCAAGCCTCCCCCCGATGTGCAGAAAGGATTTTTCCTCTCCCTCCCCCAGCTTTAATGGACACTCCAGTCCCCCCAACGGCCCGGCCCCTGTCCTGCCTCGCGTGAGCCCAGCTGGCCCGGCCAGGAGCAGGGTTCCCTGGGCTCCTGACCTCGGCTCCAGCCGTTCCTTGACTCTGGCAATCGAGCGGACGTAGGGGGCAATCTGCTTGGTGATGGTGGTCAGGTAGCTGTTCTCCTGTCTGAGCTGCAGCAGGTCGTGGAGCTGGGCTGCAAAGAGAGGAGGGGGCGAGTTGCCCGTCTTCACCCCAAACCTTCCTCCCTCCCCGAGACTTTGGCCCAGTTCTCCACGCCAGAAGAGGGGAGGCAACAATCTGCCATCTCAGGAAGACGGCCGTCTGAAGGAGGGAGGGAGCACAGGCTGGCAAAATACCAGGCGGGCTTACCTTCGTAAATCTCTTGTTCGTTGGCCACCCGCTGGTAGGTCTCCTCCCAGGTCTGCAACACAGAGTGGGAAGTGAGCTGTGCCTGCTTGGCCCAACCTAGAACACCGAGTGGCAGAAAAGGGCAGGAAGAGGCAGGGAATTCTGCAAATGCCCAGCGAAGACGTGGCGGTTTGCAATTAAGCAGGGAGGACAAGAGAAGCATTTAAGAGCTCTGCAAAAGGGGAGAGAAACTTTTATGCAGAGGTGATAAAAAGCCGAGGAGGAAAGATACGCTGGAGTAAGAAGATATAAAGAGTGTGAATAAACAGAAGAACAATAGGGGAAGAAATGCCCTAATCGCTGATCCCATTCAGACCTCATGAGGACTAGCAACTTGCTTTTTCTCTGTTAAAAGAGAGAAGCCCAGGCTGATTCGTTGGAAGAGGTTTGCAATCTGCCGCTAACCCTTGGCCCGCAATGCATCGCTCACCTCTTCAAACTCGCTCCGCTTCATTTCCACGGAGGAATACTCGGAAGCAATTTGCACATCCATCTGGAGGGACTTCTGCAAGATTTCACTCATGATCTCGGTCCTGATCAGGGAATGATGTTTGGTGAGGTCCCGATGGAGTTCCTGCACCTGGTCTTTCAAGCTCTGAATCTCGGTCTGAAGTGCCTGCAAGGCACAGGGAAAGGAAGTGACAAACACAACAAAATCTACCAAGGTTGGTGTCAGATTGAATGTTGATGCACTGAAAATGTTACCTAGTTGGGTAACAAAACGTCTGCAAGAAAACAACCAAACTCAGAGAACACCAGAGACCCCACAGTTCAACCCTGAACTACACATATTCTCTTCTATTAGTAGAGATCAAGTTTGGGATGTCCTGCGTGCCAAAACATGGCTCCCGCATTCGGCCACAGGACCACTCTTAGCCCAGGGACTCTATATAAACTCAAGAATTCACATGCAATAGGGCAACACCATATTATTAGCTGAAGATCATTTGGCAGTGCTAAATCTTAGACTTGTGAATGAGAACAGGATTGTGGTGCAAAATTCCAGGCTGCTGGAGAGCTTTGACCTGGCGTCGGTGGATGAATCCCTGAATGCTGGAATTGCCCTGCTTATGTTCTTGAAATGCAGCTCAGCTTCCTCAGCGATTGATCCAGATTGCGGATCTCAAGGGATGTGCCGTTTCTGCGCTGAGACTTCGGTGCCCGCAGGGGACACCATGCGGAAAAGCCCAGACTTTTCTGCCGAGGCCCTTTCCGGACAGAGGGGTGCCTGTTTGCAGGGCCTGGAGATTATTTTTTGGCCCGGAAGAAGGATTTGCAATGCCTAGAAGAGTCAAGGTGGTTAATCACCAGGAAGACGCATGTGTGCGTCCCCACAAACTAGTATCAAAAATTAAGCCCAGTTAAAATTCATCCCAAGGTCTGGATGTCTCATTTCCTAAAGGCGTAGAAAGAGAGCACGAGAGGGAGGCGTTCGGGGGGTGTTGGTGTGCATCTAAGCACAATTCTGTACAGCTTGTGAGCTTCCCGGAGGCCTCTGGACCCCACCTAGAAAAATCTAGTTTTGCTGCAGCTTCACCTCACTCAAGCTTTCGGCCACTCACAAATCCTCTTTAGGATCCAAAAATCAGAGCGCACGTCCAGCTGGGGCCTGGCCCCTTCTTTTTCATGGATCTCCCCCCCCAGTGTGCTGAATGCACGTACACACCACTGTTGCGTGCCCCTCCTGTGTCCGTCCCCAAGAAGTGGGGTCCCCAGCTCCCCGTTCCTCCCGTCCTTACCCGATACATATTCTCGTAGTCGCGGCAGTGGCCAGCAAAGGGCGTGTCTCTGCCTTCGGCCAGCAGGACCTTGGTGGTGATGTAGCGATGCATGGTGGCCTTCCGCACGGGCGATCCGGCCACGGACATCTTTTCGCGGGAAGAAGGGCAGCTTGGCACGAGGAGGGTCTTGGAGGAGGGACCCCCAGACATCCTGGAAGAAGGAAGGGAGGGCTTTTAAACCCCTTCTTAAAAAGTCAGCCCGATAAGCTGGCTTGGAAGCCGTGGTTTGGTGAGTGCGCCTGAGGGCCCTCTGCTTCCCTTTGGGGAGGAGTTTCTGAAGCTGCTGAAATTCGAATGGAAATAAAGTGAGAGTGTTGACAGAGGAATGGAAAGGATTCAAACTGAATGGTTGCTGAAGGCATGGAGGGCAAGGGAGAGTCCTACAGCAGCCTAACTACAAGCTCCATGATCCCCAGCCAGGTTGTTATTATTTTGCATTGCATTGCAACCATCTCGGAACCTGCGGCAACCAAGATTCATTGTTATTGTGGGTCGCACCGTCAGCCAGATGTTCAGACTGGATTTGGCCTTTGTATCCACCAATCGAGTCCTTCTCAAGGACCCGGGATGGGCAGATCTTGTTTAATAATATTAAAGGGATCGTCGCAAGATGGCAGCTGTTCCAAGTAAAGCAATGGACTGATGGCGATTTTGTCACTGTCGTCGGTCTTCAAGGGGTGCTCCAGACGTTTTGGGACTGCACCCAAG